GTCGATTTTGACGCTGCTGTTTCAATCTCGATAAATTTTCTGCGTCAGTTTCTTGACGCCTAAGTAAAATTGTATTTATAAAATACACTTGAAGTTTTTCTTCCAATTCACCCTCTTGCGACTTTTGGCATGCTTAAAATTTTGGTGACCCCCTAAAAGCTGTTTTCTGTCAACTTTGTTAAGTTCTAATATATTTGTTGGCAAGGTAGTTTGACGTCCAATGGCCCTAAAAAAGACCGGTGAGCTTCTTAAGTTATTTTTAGGAAACTGTCAGTTAATCCAATCAAATTATTTCTTGAAATTATCAAAAATTGTATTATGGGGGGCCATAATAAGGCCAGGGTCCATGATTGGGACACATACCCCAACGTCTCGGGCGAAATACCAGGAGACGTCCGGCCAGAGCTCAACCTGCTTCACTAACACTACAAGGTTTGGAAGCCCTTTTACTATCCAACCTGGTCCTAGAAGAGCAAGCCAAGCAGAACAACCATGAGGAGCGTGAGCAGACATATCGGCTGGAAGGTTTACCAGCCTCCTCCTCAAAAGTTGGTCGCGAGAGGAATTCCACGAAGAAGATATTCTTCAGGCCCACTACCCTGACTAACAGTCAGCAGATAGTGATCCGGGGAACGACCCGGAAACGAGATTTTGTTCGGCCAGCTACATACCTTCCTCTAGCGCGTTCACCTTTTGCAGAGACTCCAAGGGCAAGGACGAAGCAACCTCGGATCCAGATACCCGAGCTCTGCGATCCCCGTCGACTGAGCAGAGTTAAGCGGCAAATATTTGCCGTTTATCGAACGCCTGATAAAGCATGTCAAATAATCGACCCTCACCAGCTCTCCATCGTTAGAAAAAAAAAAAAATGAAGATAAAAATGGCCCTTTTCAGGGCCATCAATAAATTTTACCGTAAAGTAACCTGCCTTCAATCTCATCGGTCTTTTTAAGAGCCATTCAACGTTGAACTACTCTTCCAAAAAAAAAATATATATTTATTAAGACTGCTGTTTTAGAGTAATGTCTTACAGGAACATAAAGCTAATTAAGGATCTGCCCTTTGCTGGCAGACATCGAGAGCAGAGCTGTTTGTCGTGGGGAACCCCGGCCACCGACGACTTTCTGCACTCAAATTACATAGGCCAGAAATTACTTTTCCTCCAAGATTAGCGTTCAGCTAACTTGGTCAATCTCATTCGCCCTTTTCAGGGCCATTAAACGTTGAACACCTGCCAAAGTATATATTGTAATTGACAAAGTATAACATACACAGCACTTTTTAAGGCGCGCGAAAATTTTTAACAATGCCTCGAATCGCAAGAGGGCGAATCGGGAGGAGAACTTCTAATGCTTTAAATGTTTACAACTTTAGGAGTCGAAAAACTGATGATCAACTATGATCTGATGAAACTTGATCAACTATTTAAGTGACAGATTCGCTTTCTGTTACAATACTGACACTGATTACTTAAATTTTCCATCAATTCAAATTGGCGGAATGGTTTCTATTTGCACTCATTGTGGCGCTAAAAAATGGAGAGATGAAGCTCCAGGGCTCTGTTGTTCTGGTGGTAAAGTTTCCCTTGATTCTCTGGAAAATTCTCCTGAATTGGTAAGATGTCTGTTAATGGACGAACACCGTCTATCAAAACATTTCCTTGATAACGTCAGACATTACAATACGCAATTCCAAATGACGTAATTTGGAGGGAAAGAAATTAGAGAAGGAAACGTTATGCCAACTTTCAAAATCCAAGGTCAAGTATACCACTTAATAGGTAGCTTACTTCCTGAACAGAACAAGAGTCCGCAGTGCTTACAAATCTATTTCATGTCTGAAGCTGAACAAATTTCTATTCGGTCAGATAATACCTTAAAAAAAACTTTGATTGAATCATTACAAAAGGTGATGCATGATTGCAATCTTCTTATAAGAACTTTTAAATCCAATTATGACTCTCGAACAGTAGATGAATTTGAAAACTTAAAACTGATTATTCATGCCGATTGAACTCCTGTTGGGAAGCATAGAGGACGATACAATGCGCCTAGAGTGAACGAAGTTGCTGCACTAATAGTTAACGAGGAAAAAGGCCCTAGAGACATTATTTTACATGGTTGACATGGGCGGTTGGAGCGAGTTTCTGAGCTCCACCGATTCTATGACTCCTTGCAATATCTTCTTACGTTTGTTTTTGGAGAAAATGGATATTCTATTGATGTACTACTTCACGGTGTTCCAAACAAAACTGTTTCTTGCATGCAGTTCTACTCTTATAGGTTTATGTTAAAAAATGATCATATAAATTACCTACTTTATTATAAGAACTTACTCAATCAATTTGTTGTTGATATGATGGCAAAAATGATCACGGAGCGTTTACTTTACTTGCGAACACATCAAAAACAACTGCGTGCTGAAAGTTACATTCATCTACGAGATGCAATAAATAATGATCGTAACATTGAACCCTCCAGTATCGGACAGCCTGTAATTTTACCATCCTCATCCACTGGCTCACCGCGATATATGCATGAAAAAACTCAAGATGCAATGGCTTACGTACGTGGGTTTGGGCGTCTATGTTTATTTATCACTTACACATGTAACCCTGAGTGGTCGGAAATAAAAAATGAATTGCACAAAAATCAAAAACCTTCAGACAGGCATGACATTGTTTCAAGGGTTTTTCACTTGAAATTAAGAAAACTTATAGATGTCCTCACTAAGAAAGCAATATATGGCGAAGTTGATGCTTCGATCTATAGTGTCGAATGGCAAAAACGAGGGCTACCTCATGTGCACATACTTTTATGGCTTAAAACAAAAATTCAGCTGGATGAAATAGACAAGATCATTTCAGCTGAATTATCAGATCCTCAACAAGATCCCTTGCTATTTAGTATCATTTCGAAAAGTATGATTCATGGACCTTGCGGCGAATTCAACATGGCTTTACCATGTATGGATAATGGAAAATGTACAAAAAAGTTTCCTCGAAATTTTGTTAAAGAAACCTTAACTGCAGATGATGGTTACCCAACCTATCGTAGAAGAGCCCCTGCAGATGGAGGTCATAGTTCTGTACTTACAATTCGTGGCAAAGAAGTACAGATTGATAACCAATGGGTTGTACCGTACTCACCCGTCTTATCATGATGTTTCAATGCACACATTAACGTTGAATTTTGTCATTCAGTCTAAACAATTAAATATATTTGCGAATATATCAACAAAGGATCGGACCGTGCCACTTTTTCAGTTGGAAACATTGACGAAATTGCAAACTATGCCAATGGACGCTATATTTGTTCCTCTGAGGGATTTTAGCATTTTTTTGACTTTGAGATTCACGTACAGTATCCTCCCCTCTTACATTTAGATGTTCACCTTGAAAATTATCAAAGAGTTTACATAAATCAGCAAAACATTCAACAGATTCTCGAAAATCCGAGAAAAACAACGTTGATGGCGTTTTTTGAATTTTGCGTAATATATGATTTTGCTAAAACTCTTTTGTATTCCGAAGTTGCCACCTATCACCAATGGGACAGTAATAAGTTTGTGAAAAGAAAACGGGGTAAAGATGTTCCAGGCTGGCCAGAAGTAAATAAAGATTCAGCTATAGGTAGAGTTTATACGATTCATCCCACCCAGTCGGAATGCTTCCATCTTCGAATGTTACTTCAATATGTTCGAGGCCCAACTTCATTTAAGTACTTAAAAACCGTTGATGGTGTTACTTACGCAACTTTCAAATCTGCCTGTTACGCACTTGGTTTATTGGAAAATGATGATCAATGGAAAAACACACTCGCAAATGCTGCTTTGTCTGAGAATCCATCTATATTACGTGACTTATTTGCTATTAGTTTAGTTTTTTTGTAAGCCATCGCAACCTCAAATTTTGTGGGATATATTTAAACAACAATTATGCGAAGATGTTCTTCACTCTCGACGAATTCAACTCAACGGTTTTGAAGTTGAATTTTCTGAAGAAGTGTTCAACAGAGGTTTAATTGAAGTAGAAGACAAGATCATCTCTCTTTCAGAAAAAAATTTGACTGTATTTGGGCTAAACTCACCGGTTCGAGATGAACTCTGTACTAATGATCCTTTGGAACATTCCATCAGACATGGTTATGATCATAACTATTTATTTAACTACGTTGAGCAAAATCTTCCTAAGTTGGTTCCAGACCAACGACAAGCTTTTGATCGTATAATTGATAGTGTCTTAAATAGTAGTGGATGCTCCTGGAGGCACTGGAAAAACATTCCTAATTAATCTTATGTTGGCCCAAGCAAGATCGGCTGGAAAACTGTCCCTTGCTGTTGTATCTTCTGGCATTGCTGCCACTCTCTTGAGTGGAGGTAGAACAGCTCACTCCACTTTTAAACTTCCATTATGTGTTTTTTCCGGAGAAGATTACACGTGCCCGATACGCAAAAATGGTCCACTTGCAAAAATTCTTCAAGATACAACATTTATTGTATGGGATGAGTGCACAATAAGTCATAGAGCTCACATTGAAGCAATTAATAAAACATAGCAAGATTTAAGATCAAACCAGAATTTATTGGGTGGCATTACATTTGTTTTTGCTGGTGATTTTAGGCAGACGTTACCAGTAATTCCGAGAGGAACTAGAGCTGATATTATTCATGCCTGTTTAAAATCATCATTTTTCTGGCATTATGTAGAGTCTCTTCATCTACGTACTAATATGAGAGCACATCTCTGCGGAAGAGCCACGAAATTTCCAACACAGCTATTAAAAATTGGCGATGGCACGATGGAAAATGAAAATGGTTTTATCACCCTAGATCAATCCGTTGGAAAACTGGTTACAACTATCGATAATCTTATTTCTGAAGTTCACCCAGATATTTAAAATTTATCAAGCAAATCATACCAATGGTTATGTGAGAGAGCGATAATTTCACCGAGAAATTCTACAGCAGAGGAAATTAACAACATTATTCTTCAAAAGTTTGTAGCTGATTCTCGAGAGTACCTCTCTATTGATTCAGTCATCGCATCTGAAGATGTTGTTAATTATCCTCAGGAGTTTTTAAACTCCCTAACTCCATCAGGATTTCCACCCCATAAGTTGAGTTTGAAAGTTGGAGCTCCAATTATGCTACTACGTAATCTTCAACCCCCGAACCTGTGTAATGAAACCAGACTGAAAATTAAAACTCTGGGAAATAATGTTATAGAAGCTACTATTTTGACAGGTCCAGCATCAGGACAAATAGCTTTTATTCCAAGAATTTGGATGATACCAACTGATTTACCTTTTCAGTTCAAGAGATTACAGTTTCCTGTCAAAGTTTCTTTTGCGATGACAATTAACGAGTCGCAAGGACAAACTTATAATTTTGTGGGGGTAGATTTACGTTGAAACTGCTTTTTACATAGACAATTGTTTGTCGGGCTTTCAAGAACTGGTGATCCACATCATCAGACTGTTTTAATTCCGTCTGAAAATAAAACTAAAAATGTCACGTAAACTGAAATTTTGTGAATAAAAAAATAATTTTAAATTATACATTTGTATCTTTACAGCTTTAACAAATAACCCTTTGTTATATCATAACGTTAACATGTAAAAATCAACGGACCTTTTCAGAGCCAATACCTATTTTATGACGTAAAGAATGCACGATACTTTTGACCATCATTTTTTTCCTTTTTTCGATACTTTCAATAAGAAGTTATTTGTTCCAAAAAGTGTCAAAAATAGATAAGAAGTTTTTTAACTGAAAACATCCTATATTATTTGTCAACATACATGTGTTTTATTCAGCGAGTCTCAGGCGAAGCCGAGACGAGGGGCTGCTAGTATATTATAACGTAGAAAAGTATAAATGTAGCACCGTCTCTTAAGTATTGTTTTAATCCAAGTAGTAACGTGTGAAACATAAGATATTAAATTCTAAGAAGCTCGCGAAGAAGTTACGGACATTTAAATATTACAGCAATTTTGCATAGCAATTAGAAACATAATAAAATGTACAGTACATTTAAGCACAAGTTCACTTTAAACTGAACAATTGCCTAGCTTTAAACTACCTGGACCTTTTCTCTCTGGAAACGCTTTTTTAAATAATAATAAAAAATCAACAAAGCCATGTATAATTGTTTAAAAATAATCTCTTAGTTTTTCCTTTTGAATGACCCTTATCAGTAACGTATGATCAAAACGACTACCATTATGAGCAATAAAAATACACTTTTCTCCTAATTTATGTAAAAAATCCCGTAAACCAGCAAGTGCTTCAGGTAACGGAATCATTATCACTTCAACGCCATCATAATAAAGTTTTGGTCCTCTATTACTTAATTTTATTGCTGGAGATGCTTCTGTGTCGATATTTTGAGTCGGTGTAACATATACAGAAAATTGTGCTTCTCCAGTTTTGGCAGCCATTTGAATTATTTCACAAGAATCTATATCTAAGTTCGTCGTTTCTAAGTTGTAATATATAACAACGTAATCACCAATTACTATAGTTGTAAAAATTTCGAAATTTTTGCTTTGAACATTGGTCCTTGAAAAATCCTACTCGTAGCTCGGACCTTCGACATCTTCAGTTCTGACTCGACATCTTTGTCTAATACTGTGATTCAGACTCCTTGTACATTTGTACTCTTTTGTCGTTCTTAGTTCTTTCTCCCTCAGTCTTTTTTTATCTGCTAGATCTAAAAACTTGCAGGTATTTTTTCCAGGTGAATGTTGCAAATTTTTTTTCACTCGTACTACTGATTCATATCCAAAATTGAAATGCATAATGCCGGTACTGACACGTATATCACCCTGTTTACTACAACTATAGTTTTTATTGTTTGGAAAATAATTTACTATGACGCTGTTCAAGCATTCATTGCGTTGGCTAATAGCTGTTATGCAAAATTTATGAGCATTAGCTGCGTAAATTAAAAAAAAAGTTTTTATATGAGTGTACAATTCTGAGCTTTTAAAAGTGACAGCATGGAACTTCTCAAAATTTACCTCAGAAATTCGAGAATTAGCACACCACATACCGAAAGTGATATGTAAACCAAATAGATGCTCTGAGAGGGAAAGTAATGTTGATTTTAAGTTCGCCGTATTTTTATTATTTTGATGAATAGAAAAATTAAAAATTTTCTTTATGTGTGTGATGACTTTTTTTTTCTTTAATTTACTTTTTTTCTTAAATTCACTGTGTTTCTTCCTTAACTCATATAATTTCTTAATAAAAATTTTTTTAAGATGTTTCCGGTCTGCAAATTTCAATGTTTTTTTTTTTTCCTATCCTGATCTTGTCAATGGCTACAGCGTCCTCATCTCCAATAACGACTCTGACTTCCATTTTGTCATTTTTCAAAGACATACTATCATTTACTAACTCAGTGGCTACGTCACCTTCCATCAATTTGGCACAACCAGTATAATTTTAGTGGCAATCGTGATCAGTCGGATCATGGCCATATTCGCACATTGTGCATTTCCTGTTTCTAGTGCGATAATCCAACACTTTGCCTGATAACAAACCAACAACTGCCCCGTACCCATCCAAAGAGTCGTAACATTTGCCGGTGCTTCTCCTACTCCAGCCCGTGTCGTAAAATACTATAATATTTATTACGTCAAGGACGTGAGCATCGAATCCGGTGATACTACCTTTTTTTTTTTCTTCAATGGCAGCCATCATCTCTGGATATATTTCCTTTGTCACTTCTTCTGGACTGTAAAAGGAAAAAAAAAGTGGGCTGCTGTAAAATGTCATGCAATAAATTAAATATTTTTTTCTATCACACATGTTACGTTATGTACATCTTTATTTGCATAATAATAAATGCAGCAATGTATACTGTACAAGACACATGATATGAAATATTTTATAAACGACATTTTAAAAAATCAAATAAAAGTAAATACAATAAAGCAATTGTATAAATGAAACAAGTTTACAGTTAGGTATAAAATAAAAGTATACAACATAGTAAGTGTATAAATAAAAAAAATATACTATAAAGCTTACGAAAAATACTAATTACAACAATACTATTTTTCTCTCTACCTCAATTTAAAAAAAAAAAAATTAAAATAGGTATTAAAAAATTCTGTTAACATTGAGCATAATAAACAAAAACTTTACACGATCTAAAACTCACAATTCCATACGAAGGTCTTTCATATTTTTAATAACCAACCGGCGTTCTTCTTGTCTTGCTTCAGCACAACTTTCTTCGGCAACTTTTGTTATTGCAGCTCCAACAGAAGTCAAATATCTTGCATACAACTTGTGGTCGACTGACGGTATATTTAAATATGCGAAAAGCCGAATCAACTCTCTGCAGCCAATTGTTGCCTCTACGCTACCTATATTATTAAAAATATTGAAATTAAGACAATCATTTAATCACAAATATGACTTTTTTATTACCAAGAACCAACATCTCGTTGGTGACACTTTGATTCACAACTTCCTTTGATTGTCGGGGTGGATCCAGCTCTGCTGGGACTTGGTGTTCTTTGACAGATTTGACATTTGTTATAGCACAACATTTTGAGCACTTGATTTTTAAAGTGGATGATACACCATGCTGTTGCTCCTCGACAATATTTTCCAAAAAAATTCGTTTGGTACAATGTGAACAAAACAAACTTCTGGCGAGAATGTCTATATCTACGATCCGACGTTCTTTGAATGAAACTTTTTCCTCTGAGAGGCAGGGCTCATTCTTTTTCTCCTTAGTCTCCATTGTCTTAATGTTTTTGGTACGTCTACCCTTTTTTCCTCGAATGATTTTGTCTAATTTTTTTTTAACGAACAAACTTTCCTCCGCTTACACGCAACTGGTTTTTGGACCAATCATCAATTTCTAATTACTTATTTACATCAAATAATAAGGATTATCGGAGGTAACGTCGTGTACAATCAGCTGACGAACTATTACATACACAGACGTTCTCTTACTCTCAATTCGCGAAATAAGTACATGATTGCCAACTTTGTACTCTAAATCATTTGCTAACTTATTTACCGACATGGTAACGCATATACAAGTAACGCTAGATGGGGTACCTCTCGAGGAAGAAGCGCCTTAATTTATAACGCAGTGCTAATGAAAAGAAAATAATAATAACAACAAAAACTAAAATAAAACGTATAAAACAATTCATGTATTAAAACTGTCTCACTTGGTTTAAAAATTTTGAATAACTATGGAACTCTTTAAAAGACATAAAATTTTTATAAGATAATCATAAATTTTTTCTAGATAAACATACTTGCTATTTTCTTTTAAAGTTCAAGTCGTAACATGGTCAAATATTTTTAATATTAGTTACAGTAATACCATCAAACACGTTTATATAAGATGGACTTGCGACTTTGGGTAAAGTGTTTACGTAGTTATGCTGGTTTGGTCGAATTATTATATTGTCTGATGAAGATGAAGTGAGGTTTTCTTCTTTTTTTTCTAACTGTCGTTCCATATTATAATTTTCATACGTATGATAGAGTTTTAGAAAACGTATTTTGATATCATCTTGTAGAAAATTTTGGATACTTTTAACCAGCACTGTAAAAGACGGTCTCGATGTTGGCTCTTCCTCCCAGCAATCGAGCATAATATTGTAACTAAAAAAAGATAATTAATGTAGAGTGACAGTTATATGGAAATGAACTTTTTACAAAAACATTTATTTACATGGCATCAGTGGCATAAGTAGGCTGAGCCATTCTGTATCCCCTGACTAATCTCTGATACATCTCCTCAAAGCCTATACCTAAGTAAGGTATTTCTGCAAGGGTGAAAAGTTCCCATAGAACTACACCAAATGACCACACGTCTGACATAGTTGAAAAGACTCCGTCCCTAATGGACTCAATGGCCATCCACTTTACAGGAAACTTTCCTTCGTGTTGCTTTTTATAGTTTTGGTCTTTATACAATGTCTTTGCCAGTCCGAAGTCGCATATCTTAATAATGTTATTTTCTGCCAATAATATATTTCTTGCGGCTAAGTCACAATGTAACACCTTATAATAAAATAAGTAGCAAACACCTAATGTTAGTTAATATATTAGAATCCAGTAACATAAAAAATTGTATACAGATAGGTGCTTGCCTTTCTTTGGGAAAGGTACTCCATACCATTTGCTACTTGATAAGCCCATAAAAAAAGATCCTCAGTGCAGAGAAACGCAACATCTTCATTCTCGTAGTCCCCTTTGTAATTAGAACGCCAACCTGGCTGGGAATCATCGTCATCAAAATCATCACTAAATTCCATTGAGCCAACGAATGTCCGATCCTCTGAGCAGTAAATGCTGGTCTCATTGCTTGGATTACTGCCGCTCAAAACCACACTGAAATCATTAACTATCTTGTATTTTGTCTTATTGGCCAAAAAAATTAAACTTATGTGTTATGTCTCTCAGATTTACGATTTATAAGGATACAAGAAAATTTAGGTTAGTTTTAATTTAGTGGAAGTGTTTTTTTTGCAGATGTTAAAACTTTATTCTTTCTGTACAAACTCTGTAGCGAAATTAATAAGTGCTTTTTTGATAAAAATCTAGATTGATGAACGGTAACATTAATTCAAACTTTGCCCAAAATAAGTAAATGGACTCAAAATACTCGAATAAGTATTCAAGATAAGTATTAATTAACGCATGTATGTCGTCAAAACCAATAATCCTACTAATATTCTGTTTTACAAACTATGCTATCATCAACAGTTTTAACTCTTTCAAGTAGTACAACTGGAGTTGTGATTACGAGTCAAGTCGTACATTTAAAGGAATAATAATCTTAAGATGGAAAACAGTTTTCTTAAATCCAAGATGTTCGTCGTACTGAAGACAACGTTTTTGAATTCCAACTCCATTGCTACTTGATACTAGTATACTACTTAATGACATTGTTTTAAATTTAATTACACAATTTATTTAAATCGTTGTATACAAATTTTAATATTAATAGCGAAGCCTTATGACTCATAATTGAAAGACAGAAAGTATAATGATATCTCAATGGATGAGAACTTTTTCATGTTCTTTACTCTATTCTTCTCTATACATGCAAACGATAATGATTAAACTCAGGCTTGCCTCCATAACTTGCTCTGACACGTGATTATATTAATTTTTTTTTTTTCAACTTTGAGATTTTGGAAGAGATGCTAAGTAATAACACAAAACTCTTGCATATTTTCATAAAATGTTTCTATCTTTATCAATTATATATTTAACGTTTTTTCAAAACTATGATAAAAATCAATGCTTTTTGTATTTTATATTAAAAAAATAAGTTTGAATGAACGTATCGATAGAAAAATACAAGTATTTCCTTTGTACTTGGTCTACTTAACGTATAATT